ACCGCCCGTGCCCCGAGACGAGCGTCCAAGGGAGGAAGAAATCCAGGAACACGGGGGGTACCTATGCCTGCTTCAGAGAGTGCCTCGGGGGTCAGGTATTCCCCTATGGGGCGAATGCCGCCTTCCAGGACTTTGTTCACTTCCGCCTCCAGCTCGTCCGTCAGCACCGGCGACTCAATCTTCGGGGGGTAACCGTTCCAGTGGATTGGGAGGGGAGGACCATCATATCTAAGGAAGAAGAGCCTATTTTTCCAATCATGGATGGAGGAAGGATAGTGCTCGAACAGCTTCCTCTTCGGACGAGCGGCCACACTCAGATAACCGTCGGAATTCTGCGGGGTGACCTGGTAAAAGTAGTGAAACAGATCCAGGGATATATCGGCTTCCGCGGACGAGCAGCGCACGAGGAATGCAGAGATAAACCTATAAGAGTTGGGCATGAACTGCGCCGGGACCGCCTGGTAGCAGTTGAAGAACTCCACGTAAAAAGGGTGGAGGGGAAACCGCAGACCGGCCTCTACGGAGTCCACATGCAGGATGATCATCCCCGGCCGTCGCCGCATGGCATGTTCAGCCCCGCTATGGCTAAAGACGAACGGATGGGGGAAGAAGGAAGCAATCTTGTTCATGGCGACGCTAGAGAGGGATTGCCTGTGCTCTAAAACACTCTTAATCTTGCAGATGTGCCTCTGCACGTCCATAGGGATACCCAAATCGTGCACCTCCAGATAAGAACCGGATTGGGCCTCGTCCGCGGAATCATACCCGGCTGCACGTTCATTCAGAGGCACTGCCTCAATGGCACCTTCGGGAATATATGCGCCTTGCTCACTATCGGCATGGATAGTCCCTGCGGTGGACGCTGAACCAGGGTGGCCGGAAACGCTGGTCTCTCCGGAAGAGCGGGAGCCAGAGTCGGAGGAAGAATCTGAACCGGAGCCTGAAGAACCAGAACCCGAACTCGAGGAGATTTCCATTGAGGTCATCGCTAGAAGGAAGGGCGGGGATGAAAGAAAAAAAAAAATTACCTTGAAGAAAACGTGAGGATGACCTTGGCAAACTGCGATGCAACCTGAGGAGCGGCAGGAGAACTCGAAAGCAAGAGCCAGAAAACGAAAACCCTAGACAAAGGAGAATTCCTGGTATTTATAGCGGAGGCACCCCCGGGGGGATGAATGGGAAAGCGACACGTGGCGGGGAGCGTACCATAGCGGGAACCCAACCTGGGGAAGCAGTACGCGTAATGATGACTTCTCATCGAGAGTCGCACCGTTTCGCCGCCAGCCGCCACCTCGATTTACCCGCAGTTGCCCAACTCGAGGTAGCCCTTGATCAGGTACGTCCATTGCCCAAGGGGTGTTCAGCAGGCGAATACGAAAGACGGGGCGCCCCCCGGGGGGCTCAGCATACTTCCTTATGTCCCACGCACGCTTGGAACATCAGAAGTGGGGGACTTGTGTTGGGTAAATGGCCCAAACAGGGGTTCGGCCCAATCACCCCCAAACCGACGTACGTCGCCTAGCCCACGGGTGACCTTAGCACTTGGAGATAGGACGAACGTCGGTTTCCCGGATAGCCGCGCAAGATCCCTGCCGAGGGGCAATTAGCATATTTCCCGACTAACGTCGTCAGCCGAGGCCCATCTCTGTAGGTGGCCCAAATCCAGAAGATCGTTTCACTCTATCAAGGGCCGCAGACGAGCGGTCCCCGGCCTTCCACCGCCTGCTGAGAATTGCCCCCAGTTCTACCAGACGATCATGGTCAGGAATTAGGCGGGGAACCCGGATTCTGGCGGGAAGCGCATTTAATGCTGGAGATTTGGTGGTTGGACCACAGCCACTAACAATCCTCCACGTCATCAGGACTAATTGCCCATTGGCGGGTATAAATAGTAGCATTTATTTCATTGTAAAGGGTTGGCCACTTTCTATTCTTAGCATTCTAGCTATAGCATTCTTACCGGTAGCATCTACACTATCTCGTAAGACGAACGGCCGACGTGCCTTTTTAGCAAGTAGATTGTACTTAGGGGAGTTATTACGAAGTTAATAATACCTATTTACATTGCCTGCTATTTCCTCTGTTTCCTGATCCATCTGATAGTTGTTGGGTTAGATATTCATACGTTCACTCCACTCGAAATCTTTGGGCTTACGTGTTGGGCCTGAAGGTGGAAGGAATAAACCTCAACACGTACTAATAAGAAAAAGTAAGGTTGAATTTATTTTTCCGGTTATATTGGCTAAAATTGCTGTAGATGACCATTTTAACTATTTTTTCATATAATTTTTTCATATAATTTTCCATTATTTTATTAAAAAAATATATTTTAAATGTAATTTGTTCATAAATCACCAGAATCAGCCAATACAGCCACACACTTTAGTCAAAACTTCATAAATTTCAGCAGAATCAGCTGATTCAACCGATTTCGGGTAACTAATCATGCTCATAATTATAAATGTGTATTTTTATGTATGTACATTATATTTATCTTACACAATCATAGGTGAAATCTGTTTACCATTTTATTATAAAAACATATCTAGAGCCCATTTAGTAATATTAAGACCGGCTGAATCGGTTGATTCTTCTGATGATATTTATGAAGTTCTAGTTGAAGTGTCTAAATTGGTTGATTCTGCTTTTTTATAAAATATATTTTATTAATAAAATAAATTAAAAATTATATGATAACAGCTAAAATGATCCTCTACAAATCAGCGTGTGAAATCAAGTTATGTGTTTGGTGGAAAAGGTGGCAAATAAGTCTGATAAGCCGAAAAACAGGGTTACCAAACGGGTTCCTGCTTTTTTACAATATACAAAATATATTCTAAAATAACAAGAATATAATGAAATGCTGACGAATATTCTGATAATTAAACGGTTCCTGTTTTTTCATCCTTTAGAAGTTGTATTAAACCGCAAAAATAACAAGTTTCGTTATAATAAACTTTCGATGTATATAATAAATGAATTACAAGGAATGGCAAGGGAAAACCCTAGCATTTCCTTTTCTGAATTTTTTATTTTAATCGGTGCTTCTTGTTCATAATATATATTTCATTCCAAAAATATAAAGAAAATAGAGAAAATATATGTTTCATTTATAGCGTTATCTAGAAATTTTATATTCGATAGTGGAGCCCCATCTTTCAGGTTTATAATCCCTGCCAACTTTGGTCAGCAGATTAAAGACTTTTAATTGGCCTGTAGCTTTATGTTTTAGCATTATAATTTGATACTTCAATTCGTATATTATATGGTGAGATTGTTATACCATGGGCATGGTATATCCGTCCTTTTATGACATCATTTTTTGATTAAATATTTATAGCGAATACATCTTTTTCCCACTACAAAAAATTGCGGGATTAACAATGATTTGGTACGATTTTATCGCTGACTTCATGTCAAATAGTTCGTGCCAAAGTGTTCTGGCACGAATTTGACATATCCCTACCAAATCCTCTATAAATTTCGGCAAATTCATGTCAAAAGTCCATGTCAATCCCGTGTTTTTTATAGTGTCATCTCCGGCCATCTATTCACCTTCTTTATCAATATGTCCAACCATCTATTCCTCTTCTTAACCTAGATGTCCGGCCATCTATTCTTCTTTTGACGGATTTGTCCGGCTGTCTATTCGTCTTCTTCGCTTATCTGTCCGACCATCTTCTTCATCCACTCTTCCGTTTTTTCTTTGTTTCTTTTCTTCTCCATTAATTCCAAACAAAAATTTTATTAATATGAAATAAAATTCTTATCTGTATTTGAGGCGTACTACTTTTCTTCAAGCTATATATATCTTAAATTAGATGTTTTACATTTTGACGTATCTCAAATTACATTTCCATTAACATGATTAATGTTTCAATTTTTCTCAAGATACATTTACGTTAACACGTTTTACATTTTGACTTTCCTCAAGTTATATTTCAATTAACAGGGTTTATATTTTGACTTACCCCAGGTTACATTTCCATTAACTTATTATACATTTTGATAAGACTCAAGTTACATTTCCATGAATGTGATTTACATTTCAACTTGCCTTAAGTTACATTTTGGATATACGTGATTTACATTTGAAATTGGTTGTAGTTACATTTTACATACATGCGCCTTACATTTCATATATGGGAGGTGAGGCAATAAGTATTGCACGAAGTAACGCGAGTTACATTTAAGTGCACATGATTTGCATCACAATCAAAAAAATTGAAGCAAAAATTATACTTACTATCCACACACGTTTTCTTTAATTAAAAATGAAATTGATCAAAATGATGTTATTTTAGGTGTGGACTGTGGAAGTGTGATGATCACCATGGGTGGGCTGCCCCCACGGTATAACGACAATATAATCATAACTTTAGTTCCACTTTAGCCTCTTAAGCGTGAAAATGGAAACTAATCTCTCAGTCCGGTTTCAATAAACATTGTGTTGGCGTTCAATGGACCAACGTTATGGTACATACTCGTGTGACTAGAATATATTTGTGGAGGAGAGTACTTTCCAATCTTATTTCCCAAATAACAATATTTTTGACTTGTCATCTGCCATGTCATTTGAGTGACCAGGTCCACCTATACCTTGTGATCATCTGCCACGTTAGCGTAATGCCTTAATTCAGAAATGCTGTAAGTGGACCGAAGTCTACCTGGGTGGTTTCAATGCATGGATAAAATGAATGGAACAAAACTCACATGGAATGGCCAGTGTCCTCTCTGTTGGGTGTGTATTTCTTTCCGGCTCAGGTCTCCAACCCTTTAACTAGACTCACACACACCACACTAGGATAGGCCACTCCATCTCACCATGTTTTCCTCTCACTCACACTCCACAAAGGAACTCTCACACTAAGTGGAAGGGAAGCCTTGGTAGGACCAATACCTCCAACACTCTCGTTGCTAGCTTAGCTTTATTATTTACACACACCTAACTCGATCATCAGGACAACCGTATACTATGCCCCTACTAGTCTCTACTACCTCTCATCACTAATAATCCTTTCCCATCTTATATAAATACCACATACTATCATGGTCAAATGCAACTTCAGTTCACTACTATACGCTAGATTCACTTACTAAAAAAAGAGCAATTAAAGCTAAGCAAAACAAAAAAGGAAAAAGATGGCAAAGTGGTCATCCTCAACATCAAGGACAAAAGACAAACAAGAGAAGAATGGGAAGAAGCTTAACATAGTGATGGAAAAGCTCCAAAGGAGCCTTCTTCTAAGGAAGCGGTCACCCCCGGAGTCGCCTCGCCTCCGTCGTCTCGACGAATCGGATAACGCAAGAGGTGTACCGGACGACGTTAAAGAAGGTCATTTTGCTGTAATGGCGATGGACGATGGCGGTAAGCTGAAGCGGTTCGTGGTTCCATTGAGTTGTCTAGCGCATCCTTCGTTCGTTAGGCTATTGGATCGAGCCGCGGAGGAGTACGGGTTCGAGTGCGAAGGGGCTATCATTTTGCCCTGTAAGCCAACCGAGCTCGAGAAGATTATTGAAGATCAGCATTGGGTGGAAAAGCTCTTTGCTTATTAACTAGCTACCGTAACTACTTCAGCTAGAATAGCATTGAGTACGTCTACGTACATTAAATCGTTACCTTTTTTTTTTCAAATTACGTAATTTGTAACGTAATTTGTTTCGGATTTATAGTTTTTGACCATTCAGTGTTCATTTTTTTTGCCAAATAAATCAATAAAGTTGTTATAAATCAAATGCTAGCTCTTTATTGTCTTTGTTGTGGTAATGCATGTAGATGTTATGAATTTCTTCTGTCCAGTTTGAATTTATGTTTTCTCAAGGGTTAATAATGGATCGAGTAGATAGCTAGCTAGATTCCTTTTATTGTATTGTACAACTCGTCACGTTCAAAAGTCGTTTTAGTACAATAATTACTACTCCATATAGTAATATACAAAGTCGAACTGTACAACGGTACGGTCTACAGGCCAGGAGTAGTACCTAATAATTATATGTGTAGATTTAATTGGTTTTACTCATTTGATGTTTAATTAAATCAGTGAGTGTCTGAGTTGAATGTGTTTATAAAGTGATAAAAGGTTTTCTAATTTCTAATGTGTCAATAAACACATGCCTACTCCGTATAAGAATTCACACCATTAATGTACATACAAATAAACTTATAAGTAAATTACAAGTTTTGACGTAATTATTTAAAGGTAATGCATGTTATACGGAGTTTTAGGATGTTTGTAATATGTCTCAGACCAGATCAGACCAAATCAGGCTCGGAAGTTATAAAAATACATAGACACCAGACATTACCAGACCAGTCCAAACTAGACTAGATCAGACCGGACCAGCAAATTATAGTCGAAGTAAAAACATCCTTAAATAACGTAACCAAAATAATAAGCGTGGTTATAGTAAAATTGTGAAAGTGGCTTAGATAAAGTGGGAGAGTGGAAGGATTTTTTTAGATCGAGAACTTATATCATATTTGAGACATGTTAATAAGTTACGGAGTATTATTTGAGAATCACCATGTATATATGATATATCACATATTAATGTTCTTCCCATGTTAATACGAAATATAGATAAATATTTTAGAATAATACTATGTATAGCTTCTTATTGGGTCACATTTTAAAATGACTCCAAGTGACCCGTATGTAACTGAGTAGAATAAGTGCATTGATTGATTTAGGGTCTGTTTGCAATAGCTTCTGCTTTTAAAAAAGTGCTTTTTTTAATGAAATGAGGAGAAATGATTAAATAAAAGTTGATAGTGTTTGAGAAAAAAGTGATTTTGAAAAGTAAAAGTGAATAGTGTTTGGTAAAATAAGTGTTTTTTGTGTAATAGAAAAAGTAAAAACACTTTTGACGCAGAAGCCGAGAAAAATTAAAGTTGTAGTGTTTGAGAAAATAAGTGCTTTTTTAAAGCAAAAACCTGAGAAGTGCTTTTTTAAAAGCAGTTGCAAACCAACCCTTAGAGGATTAGCTTGTGATTTTTGAGCGAATAGCACAATACAGAGCGATTTTTGAGGTATGGCTATTCGTTTTACTTGAAAAATTAAGTTTGCAAAATGATCAGCTACGTACGTACTATCTTGACTTAATATCTTAGTAACAAATTAAATCAAGAGAAAGAAGATATATCAAGATAAGCATTGAAGTATCTTATAGCTAGAAAATAGCTTTGAAAGAAATGTTGCTAACATTTTTTCATAACTTCTTGTAAGATCAATTGATCTCATAAGTCAAAAACACATTTTTTTTTAAAAAAAAAAAAATATAGGGGTCGGCGTGGGCAATTGCCTAGGTCCAGCTTTTGAGCGGCCTATATTTTTATACATTTAAAAAAAAATAAGTGGTGTTCATGTGATAGAAACTACTTCCACCGTAGTAACCATAGGACAAGAAAGAGTGACACGTAAACTAATAAAAAATTGTTTATGTGATTAATATTGAATTAATTGATAAAGAATGATTTAGAGTCACATAAACTTTACTAAATTTGAAACAATCTTAATGAGACAGACTGAAAAGGTAAAATGAGACAATCTTAACCACTTGTTCATAACGATTTACTTTACATATATATTAATATTGTCTATATCTTTGTTCGGAAACGTGTCTCTCATGGATATCTTGATGTAAAATATGTTCCAACTTGTTGAAGCCCACACCGGAAAATTATAGAGTAATAAAGCGTTATATTAAGATTTGAGTTACTCCTATCAGTTTGAGTAGCTCAGATCTAAACACAACTAAACTTCATATTGCAGATAGTTTTACTGGAATTCTTTATCTTAGTATTTTGATTTTTATGGAGCGATGTGCGGCGCATAAATCTTCCTGCATAGTATAGAATTTAATAGTATAGAATAACTAATAAAATAGGATTATTAATTGTGTTTAGACAATTAGACTCTATTATTCTATATACTACTTCCGTCCCAAAAAACTTTGTCATTTCAAAAAAATTGAACCATGACTTTAATTAGTATAGAATTATGAAATTAATAAATTTTATACTTTTATGAAAGTACTTTTAACAAAGAACATTTTTATATAATTTTCATATATAATACTTCGTATTTAATATTTAATATATGTATATATAATATATAATACTAGTATTACATATAAAAAAATACTTCGTAATATATATTTATAATATATAATATATATAAAAATTACTTCGTATTTAATATTTAATACTTCCTCCGTTCTTAATAAGTGCAACAGTCAACATTTCACACTTGTCGAGGCACAACTTTGACCATTAATATATATAATTCTTTATTAGTAAAAAAATTAAAAAAATCGATTTTGAAAATTTACAAGCAGTGAGACAAATTTAACAATATTTTTTTCAAGTAAATATATTAATACATTTTTTAATTAAATGTAGTCAAAGTACAACATGTGAATAGTGTAAAATTCAACATGTTGCACTTATTTAAGAACGGAGGTAGTATATGTATATATACTAGTATAATATATAATATTAGTATTACATATTTTGTGGGCCCCTAGTCCTGGTGGGCCCTGGGCAACTGCCCAGGCTGCCCCTATGCCAGGATCGGCCCTGGAAATTACGCAATCACGGGGTTTCTATGTACACGTTTCTATGTCGAAATCACATTTTGAAAATGTTTGGTGTACACGTTTTTGGTGTACACTTTTGACACACTTGTCTGTCTACGTATACAGAATTGTCTGTATACACACCACACTCTGTAGGGTATACAAGAGTTGTATGTATACGAGCAACTCTGTGTGCATTGACACACAAGTGTGCTAAAGATGTACACCAAGCACGACTCGGTAATTTTTGTCTCGTATGTCCAAGTAATCGATTGTAGCTCCAATAGATTGATCATTAAAGGCTAGCCATAACTGACTTGTAATACTTATTCACCTAAAATGGCTGTAAACATGTGTCATGGACATCCAACACATCCACATCAATGACATCACATGCATGTCAAGGTCATGCACTCATGCGGGTGATAATGTGATATGAATAATAGATTCTGGCCTAGCTACCTTGATGCCATCATGGATGAAACATGCCATGTTGAACCGTTAATCATATGAATGCTTATTCTATATATGTATGTCAATATAATGGAGATGATTATATTCCTCAGGTCAAACGATCCAGATGGCATGCATGCCGATAATGTATATATATAAATATACTCCGTATATATATTTATATGATCATATATGAGCAAAAAAAGACCATATATGAGCCATTAAATTTACTCGTTTGGATAGGTGGCATAATGTACTGTATATAGCTGCCGTGCATGCATGTACGTACAGAAAGATGATGGACTGTGATCTAAATATGTGCACGGAAATGTGCCAATCTGTAATATTATTAATACGGAGTAGTAGTAGTATGTAGTTTGTTTGATGATAAGGACAGATAATCAAGGAGTACTGCAGGTGGTGGGGAATTTATCAACTTTGTTGCATCTATGGTCACTCATGATGTCTTGGATCCACTGATCCTGTTATTTACGGAGTAGTATTTAAATTTAAGATAATTTCTAAAATGGGATTAAAATCATATTTGTGAACAAAAGTACATAGTAACGTACAGATTACAGTATGACTTAAGTGGCTACGGGTACATTAATGTTAATGTCATTACTATGTATGAGTTATTACTATGTAGGATATCAACATAAACATAAATATAGTCACTAAAAGTTATGCCATTAAAATATAGTCCATGATCTCCATTTTGATTATATATTAGGGGTATTTGCTTCATTAGAATATGGAACTTTAATTTCTAGAAATATTAATGAAATTGAATCTCATCATCATCATTATCATTACCCCAGTGTTGTAAAGGTTCTCACCTGCGGTAGGGTAAGGGAGGCCGGATGTACGCAATTTTATTCCTGTACTAAAGCACAAACAAACCGTTTCCAGAAGACACAAAGTGAAAAATGCGTCCAAAATTGCATGAATTGACTCCTGCTTCATAAGAAAGAAATGCAGACAATTTAGTTAGTCATTTTGCTTTATTCCATCATATTCATAATGAAATTGAATATAAAAAAATTAATTTGACCAAAAGTATAATGTGTCATGGTCGCTATTGCGTAAAATTGAACATAGTCATATATAGTCAAAGTTACTAATTTAATATAATCATTACGTATACAAGAAGTCACATTTTTGTTCACCGTCTATATTCTAATAATGTATAAGTCATTATAGCTAGGAGTAGTACATTTTTTAGATAGGTGTATCGATGTTTTCCCCAAAATATAGGACCCATTACTCATATTTTGTCAAGTTTTTGTGGTTATATATTATTTAATAGGATTATATAAGTCTTCTTTTGGAAAGAAAACGTATACTTAGGCATATTTTAGAAATTTATCCATACTTTTCTTATATTTTGAATAATTCTTAATTATTGGATTCAATTTATTCACTTATTTTGTTTGGAATATCTATAATACCTGAATTAGCTGTTAATTGGGATGTATTAGATATTTTCCGGAAATTATTATTTTCACTTGAATTTATTACTACGTCCTGTACGTCCTTTGCTTAGCTTGTTGCCAGTTCAATCCATGATGAACTATGCCACCGGAGAACCACCCTTTATAGCAAGGGACCTTCCCTCCCTACCAATAACTCCCCCACCCACTTACAAATTCCTTATTTCATGGGAAACAAAAAATAACAGTGTTTCTATCTAAGAGATTAGTTAACTAACTCCAGTGC